AGCGTCCAAACTGCCGCTCGAGCGGAAAGGCAACAACAAAAACCCGCTCGAGCGTCAAATCGTCGCTCGAGCGTAGAGACCAAAACCGAGGCAAAACTCTAAGTTTTAAAACACAGTTCCCAACTTGCCCCACTCAACCCAAAACTCTAACACAAGGAGTAAGGGATAGAAATGAGGATAAGACAACAACGAATCTACAGAACCGAGTCCGGATTACAGTTAAACAATAACAGGGAATACCGGGATCGCTATCTCCACTCTGACGCCGTCATTCGAGGAGATGATCAAAGCCCTAGGTTAGCGAATCTCAGTTTTGAATAGAGTTCCTTCAAGTTCTTTGCAGTCGATAATCTTCTAAAGGTGCGAATTGCTAATCTACTGTGAATCTCTTTCTCTTGATCTCTGTTTGGACCTTTTGACCTTGAATCTCTCTCTTTTTCAAACTTTGTTATTCTGATCTTGATTTCGTTATTCTGATGACAGAACTTCTTTGACTACACTCAATTTGGTACACTTAGTTTGGTAGACTCTGCTCTATTCTTTGTCCTAAAACCCAAATTCATCTGACTCATGAGTTCAATTCCATATATATAATTCAGTTTATGTTCAATGAGGTAGGAGACTTACCTCATTCAATAGGTGAAATGGTAATTAATGGCAATACTATTAATTTTCAGCAACAGTTTAAAAATTTTATTACAAAATACGTCACTAATTATAAGTTTTAGTGACAGTTTAAAAAATCATCACAAAAAATGTCACTAATTTTTAATTTTCTGTAACAGTTTGAAAAATTCATCACAAAAAAAGTTACTAATTGTAAGTTTTAGCGACAATTTATAAAATTCGTGACCAAAAAAAAAAGCCATTAATTGTCAATTTTTAGCTAGATATGCAAAAATTTGTCACAAAAAATTATTTTTAGCGGCATTTTTATTAGGACTTGATAGGAATGAAGTCCAACTATTAGGACCTATTGGTAGTTTATCCCTTTTTTTTTTTTTAATTGAATATCAATTTACATTGGATCATAATACTCGGTTTCACTTTGATTTCATGTACATATATATATGTGTGTGTGTGTGTGTGTGTGTATGTATTTAATTTGGTCATAATACTCATTTAAATTTCCTTTTGAAAGATTGAAAATGTGATTCTTGTGGCATAAAATTCAATTCTGTTATCCATTCTCAATTGTTTCATTTATTCATTTTATAAGGTGTGAATTATTGTTGTTGCCTATTGCATCAATCACCGTCTCTATTTGTTTCAGATGAAAATAGTTTCTGGGGAATTTTCCATTTGTTATTTGAGGGGCATCATTCAGTTGCCTTTCTTTTGAACTTATATAAGGCCATCTTCAGCCCTTTCTTAAAATTTTACTTAAATCAAAAATTTATTTGGTATGAACTACTTCGATGGACAAACTCATATTCAAACATAGATTTGAGTAAAAGCTTCACTAATGATACAGTGGTAAATTTGAGACCCACAAAATAGCCTTGAAAATTTGAGTTTCCCTTTATGCTTCCTTCTGGGATGCATTACTAATTGTGGTGGTTGAGGGAAAAATCATGTCTCTTCTATGAATTTAGTAGAGAAAGTGTTTGCTTGCACCAGTCTATGGGAATGGAGATTAGGGAGGTGGGGTGTTATCTCTGTAGGATTTCATTGAGTAGTTGGGAAGAAATTTCTGTTGTGCAGGAAAATGTTTGTGTTTTTTTTTTTTTTTTTTTTTTTTTAAGTAACTTATATTTTTAGTCTTTGTATTTGAGTCTTTTGTCATTTTGGTCCTTGTTATTTCAATTGGATCAATTTTAATCTCAAATTTTTTATTTTGTCTCAAATTGGTCCAATTGTTTTTTTTTTTTTTTTTTTAATGGCAAATGCTTACATGAGCATCATATATCATATTTTTAGGAGTAAAATTGTAGACTTGATTAACTCAATGACTTAACTTCAACCAATTTAATGAATTTAGCTTTAAGTTTTTCTTGTTTCTACATTTATTCAGGTTATAGTATAGACAAGGTTTTTCTACATTTTTCTTGTTTCTACAGTTGGGAATGAATTTATGCTTCCTTCAAAGAAATGTCGTTTATGTTGTAGGATTTTGCACATTTAAGTTTGATTTGGCATCTATGCAAGCTCAGTATAAACAGGAGTAACAATTTGATTTTGTTGGATCTCATTTTTATTTCAGGTTGAAATGTAGATCTGCTATTCTGAATCAGATATCAAGAATTTGCTTGACAAGGTTTATGTTTTAAATGTTATACGTATATTGTTCGCCACACTTTACCTGCAAGATTCTTGTTTCTTATTGCAGAAAGGTTATTATAGATTAGTTTTGATTTGATATTTCTATGTGCTCATAAATGTGATGGTTAGCTTGTTTGCTTGACATTGTTGTCTTGATCAATGTCAACTACATTTAACTAGTCATTGAAGACTTCCCTGACGTAGTGTCATGTGCATGTCATGTGGTAGATAGTATAGACAATATATCTTATAAATAGAGGAGTACCACATCAGTTGTATGGGACTTGAATAAATTGAATTGAATTGAGAATTTCTCTCTAATATCTCTCTCTAACACTGTGTTTGGATTGAGTGGTTTGGATTGAGTGATTTGGAGAGAAAAGAAAAGAAATAGAGAGAAATGTATTTCTCTTCCTTGTTTGGTTATCTTAAGTGGAGAGAAATGGGAAGAAATAGAGAGAAATGGAGAGAAACTCATTTCTCTCATAACCCTTATTTTCAATCTTTCCAAAAGTGGAGAGATTGAGAGAGAAAAGAAATTCACAAATGTTTATATTTTCATAATACCAATTTTACCCCTATAAAAATAAAAGAAATAAAATGATTGAAAATATAAAAAGGTTATTTTGGTAATATAACATAAAATAATTTCTTTTCTTTTCTCTTAATGAAATCTAATCAAACAAGAAAGAGAGAAATCACAATCATTTCTTTTCTTTTATTTCTTACTTATCCAAACAAAAATGAGAGAAATTACAATCATTTCTTTTCTTTTCTTTAATCCTTTCTTTTCTTTTCTGTCCAGAGTTACCAAACATAGCGTAAGTTCCTCTCTCTCTAGTTCTTGATTGACCCTTTCATCATTTTGGTATCAGAGCAAAGAATCTGATCTGGTTCTCCCTGGCTGTGTATGAGGCTTCATCACCTCGTGTTCTACCCTGAGTCGAAGAAGCAATATGCCTAGATTCGAAGTCATGATTCACTCTGGGGTTTGAATCTTGATCGCAATCCCAATTGGAGCCATCTGGAGCCTTCAACTATCGAAGACCTAATTGGAGGAGTTACGATACAGTAGAGACCTATACAGCCATTGTCGTGTTTCACGATCGACTAGAATTTGTCCATCGAAGGGGTGCCAACTCAACGTCGAGTCACTGAGCCAACTCGCGACTTCCATTCTGAACCTGTGCTTGGACTTTGGTTCTACACAGGTATTTTCAATCTCTGTTTTCAATTCTTGGGCTATTCAAATTCCTTATACAGATTGGGTTGTCGTTTCTTGGCACTGTTTGGATCAATTCTTGATATTATAGTCTTGTTGTTGATTCTTGAATATTTGAGACTTCATATTACTGTGAGTTGATAGTTATGCTGAGTTATCCTAATCTGTGAATTGGGTCTGGCATTGGGCTATCTAAAATTTGTATATCTGGACTGTTTTGGGAACATATTGGGTTGTTATTATGGCTAATTGGGGTCGAGGTCGTAGGGGTGGTTGTGGTAGGGCTTATGTCCCGGATTTGGGTGATTATGATAGGGGTAATGGGATTCCGTTTCCAAGAGATGAGATGGCCGAGATGAGAAGGCAAATTGCCGCCTTAACTGAGACGGTGCAACGTCTCCTACCGAGGATAATGATGGTTTCGATGAAACTGATGGTACTCATCATTCTTTTGATAATATTTTTTGGGCCCCACGGCGGCGTCCAACGGATGTGGGTAGGATGGAACACAAATGGGAGAACAATATCAGGATTGAACTTCCCGAATTTCATGGAAGCCTCAATCCCGATGAGTTCATCGATTGGCTCAACACCATTGAGCGGATCTTTAACTATGGAGAGGTCTCTGTTGAAAAGAAAGTTAAGCTTGTGGCTATTCAGTTGAAGGGGAGAGCTTCTGCTTGGTGGGAACAACTTCCACTCAACCATCGCCGATGTGGAAAAGAGAAACTCCATGATTAGAAAAAACTGAAAAAGAAGTTAAAGGGCCATTTTCTACCATTCAATTACCTCCAAAGTGTGCATCAACGCCTTCATGTTCTCAAGCAATATGGTAGTGTGAATGAATACATGGAAGCCTTTTACCACCTCATTGCACGGGTTGATTTAAGTGAAAATAAGGAGCAACGGGTGGCCCGCTATGTGAGTGGCTTGAAATCTTCCATCCAAGATGTTCTTGCCTTGCACACATTATATAGTGTTTCCGAAGCTTATAATCGGGCCTTAGCCATGGAGAAGCAACAAAGCTGTCGTGTTTCCCCAATGGAACAATACTTCCAAGAAGGGTTTCGAGGTGGTTTTAGGTCGGGTCCTTCCACTCCTAGCTTTGTCAAAGCTACTCCTCTTTCCAAGTTTGTGGATAAGGGTGCTTCCTCCTCTCAAGCTCCTCGTCCTAATGGTGTTTTTGGAAACCAAAATCCACCACAAGGTGGAACCTTCAAATGCTTTAGGTGTGGTGAATCGGGGCATAGATCCTCCGATTGCCGCAAGAACTTGGGTAATAATCGAAACAAGGCACTTCTCATAGAAGAAGTTGAGGAGCATGGTGACTTCAAAGATGCTCTAATCTTTTGATCCTTCAGGTAATGTAGCAATTGGTGGAGATAGTGATGAAGAAGAGGGTCTTGCTCCTATGTTGAAGAAGACTCTTCTCTCACCAAAACTAGAGAGCTAAGAAGATTGGTTGCGTACCAATATCTTTTATTCCACTTGCAACATTGGTGGCCGTGTTTGTAACATGATCATTGATAGTGGAAGTTATGAAAACGTAGTTTCTCAAGAAGTGGTGGACAAACTCAATCTTCCGGTGGAGGAACATTCCCATCCTTATTCTCTATCTTGGTTCAAGAAAGGCAATGAGATCAAGGTTACCAAACGGTGCTTGGTTTCATTTTCTATCCGACAAAAATACTTTGATGAAGCATGGTGTGATATACTGCCTATGGATGCTTGTCACATTCTACTTGGGCGACCTTGGCAATATGACCGGCAATCTTTGTATGATGGCAAACGAAACACCTACACCGTTGTCAAGAATGATATACGGTTTACCTTGCTTCCAATGAAGGAAAAGGTTACTTCCAAAGATGTTTCCAAGTCATCTCCTAGTGCCACTACGTTGCTTGCTTCCAAGGAGTTTGTGGAAGAAAGTCGGGATTTTGGGATTGTATTGGTGTTGGTTCCGATTGTCCACACGGGTGCTTCTAGAGAAAAGGTTGAGGTGGCTACTCTTTTGGAAAAGTATTCCGATGTCTTTCCCCGAGAGCTTCCTCCCAATTTGCCTCCTATGCGTGACATTGAACATCGTATTGATTTGGTCCCCGGGTCAGCGCTTCCAAACAAACCGGCCTATCGCATGTCTCCAAAAGAGAAAGAGAAGTTGCAACGGAAAGTAGAAGAGCTTTTGGCTAAAGGCTATATCCGGCCTAGCCTTAGCCCCTGTGGTGTTCTGGCGCTTTTGACACCTAAGAAGGATGGCTCTTGGCGTATGTGTGTGGATAGTCGTGCCATCAACAAGATTACCATCAAGTACCGCTTTCCAATTCCAAGATTAGATGATATGTTGGATTGCTTGTCGGATCAAAGGTGTTTTCTAAGATTGATCTTAGAAGCGGGTATCATCAAATCCGCATCAAGCCCGATGATGAGTGGAAAATGGCCTTTAAAATGCCTCATGGCCTATTTGAGTGGCTTGTGATGCCATTTGGGCTTACCAATACTCCAAGTACTTTTATGAGAGTGATGACGCAAATGTTGCAACCACTTTTGGGGGTGTGTGTAGTGGTCTACTTCGATGATATCTTGATCTATAGTCAAAGTTTAGAAGAACATTTGTGCCACCTTTGGCAAGTCTTTGAGCTTTTGAGGTGAGACAAGTTCTATGGCAACACTAAGAAGTGCACCTTTGCCGTGGACCAAGTCATTTTCTTGGGATATGTTGTGTCTTCTCGTGCGGTGCTTATGGATGTGGAGAAGGTCAAAGCAATTGTGGAATGGCCCACTCCTTCTAGTATCCAAGAAGTACGGAGTTTTCATGGTTTGGCTACTTTCTATAGGCGATTTATCCGCAACTTTAGTAGCATTGCTGCCCCTTTGACCAACATTCTCAAGCTTCAAACTTTTGAGTGGAGCAAGGAAGTCGCCTATAGCTTCCATCTTTTGAATCCAATATTGGCATTACCGGATTTTGACAAGACCTTTGAACTTGATTGTGATGCATCGGGGTTGGGTATTGGAGGCGTCCTTAGCCAAGAAGGGTGGCCCATTGCTTTCTTTAGTGAAAAGTTAAATGGGGCTAAGCTCAAGTATTCCACTTATGACTTGGAATTTTATGCCATTATCCAAGCCATCAAGCATTGGAGCTACTATCTTGCATGCAAGGAGTTTGTGCTCAACACCGATCATGAAGCTCTCAAGTACATCAATACTCAATCCCATCTTAACAAACGCCATGCCAAATGGGTGGCCTACTTGCAACAATTCACATTCTCTTTGCAACACAAATCGGGGGTTCTTAATAAGGTGGCCGATGGGTTAAGTAGGCACACGACTCTCTTGATTGAAATAAAAAATGAAATTGTGGGTTTTGATGAATTTCGCACATTCTGTGCAAGTGATCCTTACTTTTCCAAGATCTTTGATGCTTTGCAACGGGGGGATAGGACGGCTTATCCAAGTTACATGATAAGGGATGGTTTCCTTTTCCATGGCCTTAAGTTGTGTGTTCCCAGTTGCTCCTTAAGGGCACATTTGTTGGTTGAGCATCATAAGATGGGGCATTTTGGTAAGGACAAGACCCTTGGGTTACTTCAAAATGCTTATTATTGGCCGGGCATGGCCAAGGATGTGCAAAGTCATGTAAAGCATTGTCAAATTTGTCAAAGGAGTAAGGGGACTGCCACTAATGCGGGGCTATATCTACCTTTACTGGTGCTGGAAGCTCCTTGGCGGTGCATTAGTATGGACTTTGTGTTGGGTCACCCTTCTACTCAACGGCGGAGTGATTCTATCATGGTAATGGTGGACCGTTTCTTCAAGATGGCACATTTCATACCTTGCAAGAAGACCATGGATGCTACAAACATTGCTAATCTCTTCTTCAAGGAAGTTTACAAGTTGTATGGGGTGCCTACTTTTATTGTGTCCGATAGAGATGCTAAGTTCCTTGCTCACTTTTGGCAAACTTTGTGGAGGAAAATTGGCACAGCCTTGAGTTTTAGTACTACATTCCATCCGCAAACCGATGGTCAAACGGAGGTAGTGAACCACAGCCTTGGCAACTTGTTGCGGTGCCTTGTGGGGGATCACCCCAAGAGTTGGGATGGCATCATTCCTTTGGCTGAATTTGCTTACAATTCATCTATTAACTGCACCATAAATACTTCTCCCTTTGAAGTAGTTTATGGAACTAGGCCTTCAAGTGTGGTGGATTTGGTGCCTTTGCCACTCTCAAGGAGAGGAAGCGTTAAGGCGGAGGATATGGCCACGTTCATGAAGAGCATTCATTCTCAAGTGAGGACCCAAATTGAAAAGTCTAATGCAAAGTATAAGGTGGCCAATGATGTGCATAGGCGAAGAGTGGTGTTTGAAGTAGGGGATCTTGTGTGGGTGGTATTGAGCAAAGAGAGATATCCCCATGACACCTACACTAAGTTGAGTGACAAGAAGGTGGGACCTTGTGAGGTGTTGCACAAGATTAACGACAATGCTTATAAAGTCAAGCTACCGCCTCATTTAGGCCTCTCCAATACCTTTAACGTGCAACACCTTGTACCCTACTTTCCGGATGCCTCTTCCATTGATGATGCCTCTAACCTTGTAGATTAGTTCCAAAGTTGTAATCTTGTACTTTGGTTTTTATCTTTTCATTTCTAGTATTGGTTGTATTTTGTTGTCTTTACTTGAAGACAAGTCTTTTCTTGAGAGGGGAAGTATGATGTAGTGTCATGTGCATGTCATATGGTAGATAGTATAGACAGTATATCTTATAAATAGAGGAGTACCACATCAGTTGTAAGGGACTTGAATACATTGAATTGAATTGAGAATTTCTCTCTAATATCTCTCTCTAAGTTCCTCGCTCTCTAGTTCTTGATTGACCCTTTCATCATTCCCTCTGCAGAATCTATGTCACTACAGGAAATTTGAATTTTAGAGACAATTTTTTAGAGACAAACGTAATTTGTCACTAAAAAAATATACTTTTAAAGACAAAATATAACATTTTGAAAAAAAAAAAAAAAACTGGCATTTGATAGATAATCGATCAATTTCTTTTGTTCAAATCTATTTCAGTTGATCGATGGATTGATTTTTTGAGTCTCACTCTGTGTTTTTGCTGGTATTTTTAGTTCTCTCTTCGATCTTTAGATCTGTTTTGCGCATTTCAACACTACACTCGGATAAAAGGTAATTTCAAATCTGTTTTTGCTTATGTTCTATGCTTATCAAGGGTTAGGGTGGGGTGCCAAAAGGAATTTGCTGGGGTAATGCAAGTAGGTTCAATTGTTCAAGTTTTTGAGTTCAAATGTCCACCAGTGGGCATGCAGGTAGGTCTTTCTTAATTATAATTGTTGTCCCACAGTTGCTTTCATATTATCAGTTGATATTCAAGTTTGGTGTTTAGCATGACAGGCATGTTACTTTCTGACGGGCATGTTAATTTTCCTACGTTGAACAACACCCTGTTTAAACCAAAATATAGTCTTGATGAATTCTAATTTACTTGCCTTTTGAATTCCGGCACGTTGTTTTTCTATTTCCACTTAGTTTATTTTAAAGCTTCTGTTAATGGCTATTGATCATTCATTCCCTAATTAAGAGCAATGATCTCAATGTTTGTGGCTACTTTATTTTTCTGTTTCACCTCATATTTTATTTATTGTTTCCATTTCTTATCGATGTTCTTTGTAATTCTAAATTGTTGTTTATTTGGGTTAATGACCTGCTTTAATAGCTATTTGCAGATGTAATGTGACAGTAACCAAATCTCTGGACAACAATGAGCAAGACATAAATGAGCTTTATTTTACAGAGATAAGAGATAAACTACATGCCCTTGACTTGATCCTCTCAACAAAAACCATATCATAAAAGTCAATCAAGCTGAGGCAGAGTTCTGGAGGAAGTCAGAGGAATACAGAGTAGGCTGTGGAGTGATGAAATTCTGGGCTTCAATTGTGGTGACCAACAATGGGTATCTGAGACCTGTTTTCCTGCTGGAACCTTATCAAAAGCCTAGCATGAAAGATCTTGAATATATAGAAGAGTTTATGCAATTTATAGAAAGGAAGTGATACCCGCGCTGGCTCCTATAGAACAGTGATGGACGGCATGCAGCAAGAGCCCCATGAGCCTAGATTCAAGTACAGCAGACGATGATATTTTCTCATGGGTAATTCCATCACAACTGTTTCTTTGCTTTGATTTATTGTCAATGGGCCATTTTAATTTGACGCATCAATTTTGCTAGTATGCAAACTTTTAAATCTTCTGGATGTTTTCTTTTAAATTTTGATTTCAGTTTTTATCTTGAGCCATTTTAGGTACCATCATTCTAAAATTTATACTGCCTGAAAATAAATTTTGGCAGGACTTCTGAGGCTTTTTACAAAGTTGATTTCAATCTGTCACAAATGTTAGATTGTCATCTGTAAACTTTAGAGGATAGGATAGTTTAGCTGTTATGTTTCCAAATATTTTCTGTCTATTTAGATGAAAATCGTATCGAAAAAGTATGGTGTTGCAAGAGGTTTTATCCATGTCATAGTAGTTGAAGTGCTTCGCATCAACTACTAAGATCCATTGCATTTTATTTATGTATTTACCTTTGTCTCCCCTCAGCTCAATTTGAACTACTAAGATATGTTGTCCATGTTCACAATTTCTGTGAGTAGTTTACATGCCTTCATCATCTCAACTTGAAGTGCGACTGTAAATTTAGGATCTTCAATAGCCTTAAAGTTCATAAAATTTCTTGTAATTTGATTTCATCTCACTATTGTTTTTTTCTTGTTATAAGTGAAAGACAGATCAAAGGTGGGGGAGATAAAAAAAATTTCTGACCTGCTGTTAACTTCAGTTTGCTGAAGACAACTAAGGATGTATGATGTATGCAAGTGAGTGGATTTAACCTATGCATATATGGTTGGTTTAGATTGCTAAAAATGAGGATTTGTTTTTCATTTTGAAGAATCAATTGAATATTCTTTTCGTTGTTGTTAATATATACTTCTTGCTTGTTACAGATAATAATGTTGATGGTGGTTTCATTTACAAGACAATCAAGAACTGATCGGTGTTTATTCTTGTCATACGCTTGCTACATAATACTGTAGTTGTAGAAACTAAACCTAATTTGTTGGTGCCAGGGCATCCTGCTTGTAAGTAAACCTTGTTTTTCCATTTTCTTTTTTTAATTTAAAAATTAGAAGATTTCTGAGGCATTCTAATTGTGTTCATTCCTAAAGTTGTTAAACTTTTGTTTTCTTCTCTCTTTTAGGGGATTTCTTGTTTATGATGATTTTAAGTTGTTGATACGCTTCAATATAGTGCTTCTAACATGGTTCACTATTTCCAGATGTAAATATTTTTTTCCTAGCAACAATCTATGCCATACTTGGATGCCCTCTTTCATATGTCCTACGGTACAGGCCATTTTATCGTGCTATGAGGTATTCAACCATGCGTTGTTTTGTC